CCATATAACGCCTCTAACGGTTGGTCTCATGACCATGACATGTTGTCTCATCCTCTATGTCATTACTAACATTTTATTTTTAAGAAAACCAAATCATGCTCAACTATTGAAACCATATGTGATGGTTTTGTGGCTTCTTTTGAGAAATGAGAAAACTAATTGGAATGGTGGTGTTATTTATCACATGTTAGATTGCCAAAGGAATAATTCATGGTTACCATGTGGTGAACTAATCACAATTTTTTGGTGCATGTCGGAGTTAGCTTATAAGGGGAAGAATGTGACACTAACATTTCAAGGATTGGTCAACCCAATCTAAATATGATAAAGATACTGAATAGGGATGAAGTATGGGTTTACAATCCAAATGATTTTAATCCACATTCGTCTCCTCAAGATCCTCCGACTCCTTATCAAGTAAAACATGATAATTTAGAAGAGTTTGATTATGAAATGCCTCCACTACTTCCTTATGGAACTCTTCTTTTTTCTATCCTTGACAAATCACGAGAAATCAACATGTTTCCTTTTGAAACACTCTAGAATATTTGACAATAACTCTAGAATGTTTCATCATCTGACCGCGAGAGTTAATTTCATGTCTGGTCATTTGGATGATAAGACGATTATTGTTTCTGTTGCCTTTGGTTGTGATGCTTAGATGGCTAATAATGATGATGATGGTGAAGAATAGTAGTATTATGTATTTGTTTCTTTTATTATGTAACCTTTCGGCTCATATATGAGTATTTTTTTTTTCTTTCATATGCTCTATGTTTCTCTGATCTATCTATTTTTATTTTCTCAGACAATTTTTATAATGTCAAAGGGAGAGAATCATACTTTCAATGGGATTCTACTCACTATATCTGTTAGGGAGAGTTAAAACTCTATTATTTTCCTTCTTCTTAACCTCTTTTCTAAACGACCTCTCAGAGATATGCATTGGCATCATAAAAAAAAGATGGAAAATGTGATTCTATGTGTTTAATATGCATAATATCTTTTTATGATGACATAAGGGGTCAAAGAAAATATCATAAACCTTATCAAGAGAATAAAAAAAAGTGAAGTAAATTAAAAAAAATGAGAAATTTCTGATGATTGACTTAAAAAATGAAAATTCAAAGAACAATATAAAAATACAAACGTATATGCTAAAAGCTCGTCATCTGATCATGTGCTCAGTTGCCTCATATTTTTTTCTAAGATCAAATTTATATTTGGGGTATGTTACTCTAAACGCACTAAAGTCATACACACACTTACTAAAGTTATTTTTCAAAACTTCATCTTATTTCAAAACTATTATGAAAATTACTTTCCATTGGACCAAATATTTTAAAACTGGATCATAACCAATCAGGAAGTCTTTGTAATAAATTATATACCAAAACTCGGCCTATAATCGATAGTGGAAATTGTCTTACCGATTGTCAGAATTTTTTTTCTTAGTAATAGGTTATGGAAGTCTTATAAACAATTATGCTTCTGATCCAACAAAATTTTCCATTTTTTCTATGTCATAATCGATTATGGGCATAGCCTACCCAATTATGGGCAAAATCAGGGCCTTTCAATTTTTTTTGTCTAAATATTTTACTATAAAAGGATGAGTTGTGTTCATTTGAAAGCACATAAGATTTTAGAAAAACACTTTTTTTTCTACTCTCACCTTATTTCAAATTTTCAAACTCATTTAAAATATAATTTTAGTGTTGAGAGAATAATCACTTTATAAAAAAATTTGTTGTTTAGCCATTACTTTACTTTTTTATTTATTTGTAATTGTAAATGAAGGGAGAGTTCTTTTACATTTGTTATGAAAATAAGCAAAACAATGAAGAATAAAAAAGAGAAGAAGTGAGTTCTTTTAATATTATTATCATTCAATGTAAATGTTTCAAGTACAATTTGAGTCATCTTTATAGGACATAGGTAATAAATGGAAAATCAACATGATATCTACTAATTGATGGACATCCATAATCATGACATTTATCACACTCTCCCTTAAATGTCCATAAAAAATATGTCTTATTAAAACCTTAATAGAAAAAACTCAGTGAAAACAATTCTAGTGAAAAAAATAGAGTATAATATCCTTTAAAGATAAATTCATTCCTCCCTCTCAGCTTAATGGTCATTTCTTCATCGATAAAGTTCAATCGTTTGCACTAGTTGGTTAAAAGTTCTACTAGGGAGTGATTGGTTAAAAAGTATGCAAGATTATCACATGAACGAATTTGTTGGATGCTTATATCACCATTCTTTTGAATATCATAAGTGAAATAGAATTTTGGAGAAATGTGTTTTGTTCGATCTCCTTTAATGTAACCATATTTCAATTGAGCAGTGCATGCAGTATTATCTTCATTTATGGTTGTTGTATTTATTTTTTTAGAAGTCAAACCACAGGTCTATTGTACGTGTTGAATTAGAGAGCTCACCCAAACACATTATGGACTTGCCTCATTTAGTGCCAAAAGTTCTGCATGATAAGATGGCGATGCTTCTATTGTTTGTTTCACAGATCTCAAAGAGATATATATTCTTCCACATGTAAATAAATAACCTATTTGTGATCGACCATTATGAGGATCTGACAAGTAACCTGCATCTGCATAACTTGTTAACTCGAATTTAGATTCTTTGGAATAAAAGAAACCCATGTCCATGGTACCTATGAGATAACAAAGTACATGTTTGATTATGCTCCAATGTCATCGTGTAGGTAAAGAAATATATCTTTCTAATAGATTAACAATAAATGATATATCAGGATGTGTATAATTAGCAAGGTACTTCATGGTACTTCATGTCTAAGTAAGTATTCATCCTTTTCTCTAGGTCTAAAGGGATCTTTCTCCACATCCAATGATCTAACAACCATTGGAGTAGACAACGAATGACATTTGTCCATATAGAAGCGTTTTAACACTTTTTCTATATAACCTTCTTGATATACAAATGTCGCTACTCGAAAAATAACGACGTGAGGCGAAATGAAACAGAACCACCATCGAACTTTATTTATCCCAAAAGGGGAAAGAAAAACATAGAAAAAATCCCAAGAAGAAAAGGATAAGATGGTCTCGCAACCAAATAATGGGTTCGGAAGCCGATTATGCAAGGATAATTTTTTTTCTTTCTCCATCTTATGATTCTTTTTTTTCTTTTTATATAAATATTTAATATAATTTAAGTTATATAATTATTGTTCATTTTACAATTAAGTATATCATTTTAAATTTTGTATTTGTATCTAAATACATTTTATATCGCATCAAATAAATTTTTTATCTCACAAGTCATTATCGCATAAAAATTTTCTTTTTTGTTTTTCTTCATCTCACGAGTCATTTTTTTTCTTTTTGCATGATTATTTAATAGAATTGAGATTGTATAATTATTTTTTAATTTACAATCAAATAACTCATTTCAAATTTACATTATATAAATATATTTCATATTATATCAAATAAACTTTCTATTTCCCGGGTCATTATAAACACATTACATATTTTATTTTATCAATAATTATCTTAATTTGAAAGATAAAATCCTTATTATTAAATATTAAATATTTCTTTTTTTTTTTATCTCAAGAATTTTTGATCTGACCTGATCAGGAGGGGATCACGGACTGACCACACTCTGTCGGGCTGCTGCCTGTTCACCGGTGATGAGGAGGAGAAGAGGGGTGTACCTGCAAGACACTCCGATGCCAAAGTAAGGAATTGGGCAGAGTGGGAGCAAAAGTACAGAAAGGGCAAGATGTGAATTACCTGACCCTCTTGAGGAAGAGGGTATTTATAGAGAGACCCCAGCGCTGGGCCAACGGTCATTTGAGATGGGCTGGATGACCAGGCCCAACCCTAATGACTGCTAGGGCTTACGTGGCGTAGTGAAGACCAGAACGTGGTCTTCGCCCTAGTCCAACTGCTCCTAGATCTCCGGAAAGTGGGTTTGACCTGCTCTTTCGGAGGTGGGCAGTTGGTTGATGACGTGTCCCCGCGGAGGGGAGCACGTGGAGAACGTGCGCCGGGCACGTTGTTCTCCCCGCGGAGGGGAGGAACCAAGGGCCGCGCTTTTGGTGCGCCGGGGTCGGTTCTGTTCGGCTGGTAAGAGGGACGACGAGCAGCTGTTGGATGCGCTGCTTGTGTCCGGCGGCATGCTCTGCTCGACTTGCGGGACGCACGTGCCCGGCGTGCCCGGTTCACCTGTTGGGTCGTACGTGGTATTGGGTCTACCGATGTCGGGTCCAGACCGGAACAATTTTTTTTTCTATTTGTATTTTAATACAATTAAATTTATATAATTATTGTTTATTTTATAATTAATAGTTAATTTCAAATTTAGATACATATATAAATACATTTTATAACATTTTAAATGTACATTTAAATATATTTTATATTATATTAAATAATTTTACTTGTGCGGAGCATAAGTATCTTATTAGTTAAGAGACCAAATTCGTTAATTTTATAATAGAGAATCAATTGTTTAAAACATTTAAATAAATAAAAACGTTATATTGATGTAAAATTTTCCCCTCAGCTGTAGAATAGTAGTAGCATGTGGAAAGGAGTACAATTCTGCTGTGTCCTCTTAGTCCTCCGTTTTCTATGCCATTCATTTTCCTTGATTTTACAATTCTGATATTGATGTAAACGTTGATTTTGAATAACTCTTGTATCACAAATTTTTGACATTATTGTGACAGGTCCATTTTCGTGAATGATTGTTATTGAAACCAAAACTTGAACTAGCACGCATCACAATGTGAATAGTCTCTACTAACCAATCTAAGTTAGTCACATTTTTTAAGATAACTTAGGATATGATCTGTCTTTCCTCTTTCTTTTTAATTTTTTATACTAGTTTTCCAAAAAGCTAAGAATAAAGAATACTCTTGTTCACCTGTCTTTTATCTCATAAGCATTTCATTACATAAGGAGAAGAATTAGCTTAACACTTTTCACATTCAAAGAAAAATGGGTCGCTCCATTTCATCTCTTCATCACCTTCTTTTCTCATCTTTTGTTATTTTCTCCTTGTTGTTGAATCATGTTCATGCCAACAAAAAGGTAACCCAATTTTGCTTCATAATCACACCCATATACATTGTAATCAAGATGATGATTTTTGAGTATTGTGCTAATAATTGACAGTGTTACATTGTATACTTGGGAGCACATTCTCATGGTCCAACTCCTTCCTCCGCTGACCTTGAATTTGCTACATCTTCTCATTATCATTTACTAGCTTCAATCTTGGGAAGGTATATCAAATTAAATTAAATGAATCATTATTCATATATTTTCTTGTAATGAAACTGATACATCATTGACTGTGACAGTGAGGAGAATGCAAAAGAAGCAATAATTTATTCATATAATAAACAAATCAATGGGTTCGCAGCAATGCTTGAAGAGGAAGAAGCTGCACAAATTGCAAGTATGTGTTAGTAGATCTAGCTACTCTTTTTTATTTTCAACTTATAATAATTCATAAATTTGTTTTCAACATATATATGCAGATAATGGAAAGGTGGTATCAGTGTTTTTGAGTAAAGAGCATAAACTTCACACAACACGTTCATGGGAATTTCTTGGATTGCGTGGAAATGATATCAACTCAGCTTGGCGAAAGGGAAGGTTTGGTGAAAACACTATCATAGCTAACATTGATTCAGGTACTAAATTTAACTATAATTTTACAACATTCTATATATTATCCTCCCTCCGTTTTAAAATAACTGTAGTTTTAGAGAAAAAAATTTATTTCAAAATAATTATCGTTTTCACTTTTTAATGTAATAATAATTGTTATTTTTTCAATTGTGTCATATATTATTACTCTCTATACTATTTCCAACACATTAATAAAACTAATTTAGTAAAAGTGTAATATCTTACGACAATATTATTGAATTCCTTAATTTAGGTGCAAAAACCTTAAACGACAATCATTTTAAAATGGAGGAAGTAGAATTCAGTTAAAGTCATTTAGTTAATTATAACTTATAAGTACAATTTTTAGAACAACATTCTCGGTTAATTAATGATCTCTGCAAACTTCTAGTTTAAATTCTCATGTGTATGGATTTTTAATAGTTACTTCAGTACTTATAGACTCGTAAAAAAAGTATTGTTGATTAATTAGTTTACCGATCAAAATTTTATCGCTTAAAAATGAATAAGTGAATTATGGTAGATTTGAATCCACAAGAGAAAAAAGTGAATTGTCGTTTTCATCACATGAAACATAATAAGTGATCTTGTACCTTTTTTTCCGGATTGGTGTATGATTTCCTCATGCCCAGTTTTTTATGTAAAGGTTTAGAGTCTTTTTTTAATAGAGTGGTTTGGTTGATTTTTTCTGATTAATTCAATACAAATTTCTTCACTGTTATGTTTTGTGCTGGTCAATTTTTGGTGGCTGTTTGTGTGGGGTTTTCTTGCATCTTCCACTTTTTCTTATATTCAAATTTCTCATGATTTAAGGCATAAAAATATGATATTTATGGTCTTTTGAATATTATTTTAAAGTCTTCACCAATAGTATAATCTTAGTGACTAATGAATAGACGTAGAAAATTAACATAATGTTTGTATGTTATAGAACATTTGTGCTTTTTTTATTCTTGTTATATTTAATTAACCTACTTGAAGACAAAAACTACATGCTTTACTTGAGTTGGCAAGATGCTTTCTTGAGTTCTTAATTAATACTATCAAAATATGATATTTTATTTTACCACTTTATCTTGTGCTCTCTTCCTTATCAACTAGTACCTCAAAAGTCACAAGATTTTCAATTATTTTATGACAAAGTAAAGATCACATTGACAGATTCAATATTATAATCTCCATATGAAAATTTTGTTTCTTTTATCACATATTAAATACAGCACTAACATCCAAGCTTTATCCTACCACGGTTACCTGAATCAATTTGCGGGATAATGTTCTATTCAAATAGTTAATTTCACATCCTTTTTAAATAAATCTAAAATATAGTATCCTAAACTTGATTGTTTGTAGGTGTTTGGCCAGAATCGATGAGTTTTAGTGAAAGAGGAATAGGCCCAATCCCAGCTAAATGGCGTGGGGGTAACATATGTCAAATTAATAAACTCAATGGTTCTAACCAAATTCCATGTAACAGGTTCTCTTTCAACCTGTTTATTTTATTAATTATATTTTATGCTATACAATTATAGTACTAAATTTTTTTTGTATATTAAACAATCAAAGGAAGCTAATTGGAGCAAGATTTTTCAACAATGCATATGAATCAGTCAACGGAAAACTCCCTCGTTCGCAACAAACAGCGCGCGATTTTGTAGGCCACGGCACGCATACACTATCAACAGCAGGTGGAAACTTTGTACCAGGTGCAAGTATATTTAATATTGGCAACGGAACCGTAAAAGGCGGTTCGCCAAAATCAAGAGTTGCAACATACAAAGTGTGTTGGTCTCTAACAGATGCTACTAGTTGTTTTGGTGCTGATGTATTAGCGGCTATCGATCAAGCCATTAGCGATGGTGTTGATTTGATTTCTGTTTCTGCTGGTGGAAGTACTAGTACAAATTCTCAAGAAATTTTTACTGATGAAGTTTCAATAGGTGCATTTCATGCACTTGCTAGAAATATATTGTTGGTTGCTTCTGCGGGAAATGACGGACCTACCCCTGGAAGTGTTGTTAATGTTGCCCCTTGGGTGTTCACTGTTACTGCTAGTACATTAGATAGAGATTTCAGCAGTTCTATTACCATTGATAACAAAACAATCACGGTATTATACATATATCCTTTATGTTATGTTTTTTCCTGAAAATTATTATTCTCATAGCTTTGATGTTAATTATGTTTTTGTTATATTACTAGGGTGCAAGTCTTTTTGTAAACTTGCCACCTAACAAGTCTTTCACTGTAATAACTTCTACTGATGCGAAATTGGCAAATTCGACGAAAAGAGATGCGTAAGTATAAAGCTACAATAACAAAAAAGTCGATGAATGTGAAAATAATATGAATAGAGATTGAGTTTATGATTGTTTCTAACATGTTTTCGGTATGCACATTTTTGCAGGCAATTTTGTAGAGCGGGAACACTTGATCCTTCAAAAGTGAAGGGTAAAATAGTGGCATGTGTTAGAGAAGGGAAAATAAAATCAGTTGCTGAAGGTCAAGAAGCTCTATCTGCAGGTGCAAAGGGAGTCATTTTGAGAAATCAACCGCTAATTAATGGAAGAACACTTCTTTCTGAGCCTCATGTTTTGTCTACTGTCAGCTATTATTCCAAACATCAAACTACAAGAGGACATAATGTAGACCTAATTCCGACGTAATTACTAATCCTATCAATATTTTTTTAGTCATATTATATATACCGTCGGTACTTATAATAAGTTTTTCAAAATGTAACATCAATAAATTAGATGTTACAAATGAAAATTTGGACAGTTTGATTCTGTTCGAGTGGCCACAGATGTGTTGACTGTGTGAATGCGTCAAACTTTTGCAGAGATATAAAGTCAGGTACTAAAATAAGAATGTCAAAAGCAAAAACAATCTATGGAAAAAAGCCAGCTCCAGTTATGGCTTCATACTCATCTAGAGGACCAAATAAAGTTCAACCATCAATACTCAAGGTCTCTTACACTTGAACTTGGTATCTACTAGTAACTATTGAATACTTGTTGATTATTCTATGAGAATATTTCCTTTGTTTTTTGTTTTGTTTCAGCCTGATGTAACTGCGCCGGGCGTGAACATACTTGCTGCCTATTCATTGTTTGCAAGTGCATCTAATTTAATAACAGACACTCGCCGAGGTTTTCCATTCAATGTAATGCAAGGAACATCTATGTCTTGTCCTCATGTTGTTGGCACTGCTGGATTAATCAAAACACTTCATCCTAATTGGTCTCCAGCAGCTATTAAATCAGCTATCATGACCACTGGTATTTTCTTGTCCTATATGTCAAACTTTTAAGATGATTACTTCTTTCTTATCCAAATTTGTGTGCTTGCAGCAAGCACAAGAGATAACACCAACAAACCAATTCGTGACGCATTCGATAAAACTTTGGCAAATCCATTTGCTTATGGTTCAGGACACATTCAACCCAACAGTGCAATAGATCCCGGACTTGTTTATGACCTAAGCATTATTGATTACTTAAACTTCTTATGTGCTTCTGGATACAACCAACAACTCATTTCATCACTTAATTTCAACATGACATTTACTTGTTCAGGATCACATAGCATAACAGACTTGAATTACCCTTCAATCACATTACCAAATCTTGGATTAAATGTCGTTAACGTCACACGGACAGTCACCAATGTTGGACCTCCTAGTACATATTTTGTAAAAGCTCAGTTGTCCGGATATAAAGTTTTTGTTGAACCGAGTTTCTTGAAATTCAAGAAAATTGGTGAAAAGAAGACATTTAGAATTTCTGTGCAAGCAACAAGGGTGACTCCACGGAGAAAATATCAATTTGGTGAATTGAAATGGACAAATGGAAAACACATTGTAAGGAGTCCTATTACTGTTCGACGTAAATGAAAGATCATTAATCTCAGAGAACGTAAACGTATATTGCGATTTAATGTGTCTTAGTTTTTCATTGAAGAAGGATTTAATGTGATATACTATTATTATGCTTTTATTAGTTCATCATTTTGTTGTTGTTTGGGTATGGTAGTGTAATATGTTTTGTAATAAGTAGAGTATATGTAGTGTAATAATTGATGTATGGGAGTGTAACAGCTATATGTCTTGCACAATAAACTTTATACTTCAGTTTTATTGTTCGATTTAATATTTAACTCTTGAAAACCCCTTATAAGGCTATGATGGATTGGAAACCTTATAATCCGCAACATAAAAATTTTGATCTAAAGATTGTCACTGGTTCCTTTATTAGATATAGTGTAGGTTCTCGAGAATGCAAGTTTAATTTCCCTTCTCATTCAACACAGGTTATTAAGTATGGCCTAACAATTTTCTTTGAGAGCAACTTAGATAGTGGCGTTTCTACGCCATAAGTATAATGATATACAATTTTTCAAGACGATCAAGTAGCTGCACAGCAAAATAATGAACATGAACCTATTATATAAGTAATATTCGATTGGTGATATTGAACAAAGTGATATTGTTTTTATTCGGTTTTAAAAATAGCCAAAAAAAAAAATTATCGGATCGAAGTCGCTCTCTTTAAGACGTTTTGCACACCGTTAAAGTTTATGCAAAGCAGTCAAACTACGAAGATGCCTTCAAAATAAAATAACTCAGTTCAATTGTACGATAATTACTTGCACGGTAGGTATCGTTATAGAAATACACCTTTTGATGACGTTAAAATTACTCGATGATAATGTTTTAAAAACCGGACCGAACCGGCCGGTTCAACCGGTGGGACCGAGAACCGAAGATGAATCTAGTTGGGTCAACCTTTCAAAACCGCTAGTGGGTCAAAACCAAAATTAAACCTGAAAAACTAAATTGAACTGTCCAAAATCATTCGAACCAAAGAACCGGAGCCAATTTTGTAAAACCGTCCCGTTCAAACAAAATTCATCAAATTGACAATTTTTAAAATTTTTAATTTTTTTTTTAATATATTAATATCAAAACTTAACGTACATTTTCGAATAACAAAAAAGAATTTCGTGTATTTTTTACAACCATACAAACTTATATGTTTTGTCCCTTTATTATAGTTTTTCTTTCAACCACACTCTATCATCATCATGTCGTCTCTTTCAAATATAGTCACGATGTTCAACTCTATTGATTGTCGTTCAAGTCAATATTATTTGTTGTTGTCAATTAAGACTTGTTTGTCGTAATTCAACTCAAATTCGATTTTTTGTTGTTTAATGAAATATATTGTATTATTTATATTTTAGTATTCTATCTTATTTAATTTATGAATTCTTAATTATTTGAACTTTATTTTAGCTATTATATTCTATTATTTTAATTTTGGTTTGAATTAGTTTAATTTATTTTATTGTAATTTTTTAGTTTGGTCAAAATATTCTTAAATGGTGGTTGAAATGAAGTGTAAAACTATGTTATTTATTATTGATATTGTTGTATTAAATTTGTAATGGATTTTTAAAATATTTATTTTATTAAATCAAGAACATATTAAAGTGTGTGACATATTTATGAAATTTAGTTTTAAATTATTATTTTATTTAATAAACGATTCGACTGTAGGTTTAACCAGTTTAACCAATTAAATCTTAAACCGTAAATTTCACAGGTTCGATCTCTGATCCGATTTTTAAAATATTGCTCGATGGTGTTAAAACTACTCACAGTTGCTGGCAATCAATCTTTGATGGCGCAAACAAGCAACTCAAAAAACTCTGAAAGAAAAATTTGAGATGAAGTGATTATGAGAAAGAAAGATATTTTAAATTCGGCAAAAATATATCTAGGATTCTTTAAATTATTTTATTGTAAAAATGCGGTCTTTTATATTTTTTTTACAAGGCGGTCCTTTCTGTAGAGGACATGTCATAATTATTTAATTATTTAATATTAATTAATTTCTATTCAATTAATTAATTAATAATAATTAATTTCTACTAATTTATTAATTAATTTGTATTAATTAATTTTCACGAATTCGAATTTTAAAAAATAATGATTGAAGCAGTGGTGTTTGGGTTGAATGGTGGTGATGACATGGAAGAGCATGAAGAAGTAATCATAATGATTGAAGCGATATATGAAGAAGGGAGAGTACATAAGGAGGCCACAAAGAAATGTAATTTATGGATTTTCTTTATCTCAACATAAGAGGATTTGGTAGCTCTTCGAAGAAGGAGAGGATTAGGAAGCTCATACAGAAACGTCAGTTCGAAGTTTGTTTCCTTCAAGAGACGAAGTTGTAATATATGGATGATGTTATTGTATGGTCCTTATGGGGTGGAAAAGATGTGGATTGGACGATAAAAACCGTTATTGGTAAAGCAGGGGGGATCTTTTATTACGTGGAATTCAGGTTCAAGCTATTATATTTTGGTATTCTATCTTATTTGAGATACATGTTATCTTACTCTGATTTATGACGTATTATTTCGCGGGGTTTAGAAGGGTGTTACATTAGTGGTATCAGAGGAAGGTCGGGCAGTTGACCAAGTTGTTAATGCACTTATTCTCTTTTATATTTGATATGTGTGTGTAACACTATTGGTATTGTTTGTGCTAATGCTGAGAGATCCAAATGTCTTAAGTTTGTGAATGGTTTGAGGCCTGAGATCAAGAAAGCCATTGGTTATCAGGAGATTAGGCAATTTTCTGAGTTGGTTAACAAGAGTAGGATATGTGATGAAGATAGTAGAGCTCAATCTACTCACTACAAGAGTTTGAATGAGAATAAGGGAAATAACCCATTCAACGGGAAGTCGTATGTGACTCCTATTGATAAAGGGAAACAGAAAGCTGGTTATGACAAGAAGCCGAGTGGGGGAGGAGCTCCTACTCCAATTAAGTTCTATAAGTGTGGTGTTGAAGGATATCATGCCCTAGAGTGCACAAGTGTTGAACTAAAATGTTTCAAGTGTGGCAAGCCAGGCCACAAGACTTCTGAGTTCAAGAGTGGTGCGAATGTGACTTGCTACAACTATGATGAGCAAGGGCACAATAGTACCAAGTGTGATAAACTGAATAAGGCTCAAGCTAAAGGGAAGGTATTTTCTCTATCAGGATCTGAGACTGCTAGTGAAGATCGATTGATCAGAGGTACGTGCTTTATTAAGGGTACACCTTTGATTGCTATGATTGATCCTGGAGGTACACATTCTTTTATTGCTTTGGATTGTGTTAAGAGATTAAATCTTGAGTTGTCTATTATAAATGGAGGTATGGTTATTGATACTTCTGTTATGGGTTCAGTGACTACTCCATATGTGTGTGTTTGAATTGTCTGTTGAGTATTTTTGGTAAGGATTTTAGAGTTGATTTAGTGTGTCTACACTTAGATCAACTTGATGTTATCCTTGGGATGAACTGGTTGGAATTCAACCATGTTTATATCAACTGTTTTGGTAAGACAATTATTTTTCTTGAACCTGAGAATGAAGGAGACTTGTTTATGTCTGCTAAGCAAGTGAACGAGTCAGTGCCGGATGGTGCTGAGATGTTTATGTTTATGGCAACTTTGAGTATTAGTGAATATGGAGAAGTTGGTATTTTGCCAATTGTTTGTGATTTTCCAGAATTTTTTCTTGATGAGATATGTGATTTACTGCTAGAACATGGAATGGATTTTGCGATCGACTTAGTTTTTGGAACTAGTCCGGCATCAATGGCTCCATATCGTATGTTCGCATCGAAATTGAAAGAGTTAAAGAGTCAACTCAAAGATCTGCTTGAGAAGAGATTCATTCGTCCGAGTGTGTTACCGTGGGGTCTACCAATTTTGTTGGTTAAGAAGAAAGAAGGTTCTATGAGGCTTTGTGAGGACTATAGACAATTGAACAAGGTGACTATTAAGAATAAGTATCCACTTCTGAGGATTGATGATCTGATGGATCAATTGGTTGGTGCAAGTGTGTGCAGTAAGATAGTTTTGAGGTTTGGGTATCATCAGATTCGTGTGAAGGCTGAAGATATTCATAAGACTGCTTTTAGAACCAGGTATGGTCATTATGAGTATTATGTGATGCCGTTTGGTGTGACTAATGCACCGGGTGTATTCATGGAATACATGAACAGGATTTTCCATCCATATTTGGACAAGTTTGTGGTTATGTTCATTGATGATATTTTTATCTATTCGAAGAGTGAAGAAGATCATGCTGAGCATTTGAAAATTTTGTTATTGTCGCACCTCGAAAAATCATTTCGAACATACGACCCTCGCGCAAAAGGCGCGGAAATGCGGTTCGACAGAGTCGCCACCAAACTTTATTTTTCCCGAATAGACGGGAGAGGAAAATATCGAGAAAACCTCATAGACACGGAAGGAACACGACCGTCGCAACCATATTCCTGGGTTTGGGAATCGGTTACGCGAGGGGAAGGTATTAGCACCCCTCACGTCCGTCGTACTCGACGGGAACCTCTTAATTCGAGTTGTGATGGATGTTAGCTAAGCTTAATTCTTCTCTTCTCACTACTAAATGCTAAAACAGTACTATAAAGGCTAAAGACGCTAGGAGGAGGGGGATGGTTAAAGGATAGGGTGCTCGCCAAGGATTGGGGCCCTTGTGCCTACGTATACTCATTCGGACGAGAATGAGAAATCAGAGCGTCGTAGTTCGACTACGGGAAAGGATGGGGGGAAATGGAAGATGGAGGGGATTGTGCTCGCCAAGATCATCGCAATCTTGTGCCTACGTATCTTACATTCAAGAATGAATGAAGAATCAGAGCGTTCATAGTTCGTGGTAACAACCACGAAAGAAACTAGATTTGAATTGGATTGAAGTGGGTACGGATGACGATTACTCGAAGCTTAAGAAAGACTTCTCGGACCCAAGTAATCGGGAGAGCGAACCAAAGACTTGGAACACTCTCTTTTTCATCTTGAAAGAGGGTTG